CGCCACATGCATGAAAAATTTTATTACTTCTGATAAGAAAAAAAAAAAACAAATGTAATGCAACCCGAGTAGGATACAAATATGAGATTTTTTTTTACAAATGTATACAGCTTTGGATGTCTGATTATACTTCTTAAGTTTTAGTGTAATGCATTAACTTAAATTAGCCTTTGCTCTTCATTATCAAACTAGTATCTTCATAAAAATAATTAAAAAACAAATTATAACCACCACTTAAAAAGTATGTGCTGTTGTCTTTAGAATTTAGTAATACTACTATTTATAGCTGTATTGTACGGTATTTAATTATTGGCAATTATAAAAATCGTCTAACGATAACTTTTAAAAAAATTTTTATTTACATCAACTAGATTTATGAACTTGAAAAACTTACCTTAATAAGAATATAAAAACCAGTTATTTTAAAATTAATAAAAAAATCTCTGTAAGAACAGTTCGCAGGAATTTCAAATTTAAAAATCATTTGGCATTACATAAGCTTTACAAAATTACTAATATTAGCCAAGGGCACCTCCAGTATACGATTGAAAAGGCATAAATGAGACAAAAGCGAACGAGGTCGTAAACATCACTTACCTATTTCAATTTTCAATCTCTAATTAAGTATAAAAAAGAATTTCCAACAGCAATAATCAACACACTATGGACACTAATAATAATATTGTATAAAACAATATGCAATTCCAGTTGATTCTTATGTGTATGTAGGTAATGTTAATTGTTAAAAATTCGACTAACAATAAGTAAAATACATGCGGATGAGAACGCGAAAAAGTATTGACGCGACTACGACGCCGGTCGCCAAGAAACCGCTGTGTTGTTATGAATAATATGATAGTAACAAAAGCTTACGATGAATTTTATTCTAAAGGCCCCGCTTATATCCTACTCATTCAAAGAAGATGAATCAAACAAGCCTGCGATCTGTGTAAATTTAAATATCAATGGCTTTGTGATACACTGGTGTCGTTCGACACATATCGGAGAAGGCACGATGACGTACGAACGTATTTTCAGTTACAGAGTGTCCCGATTACACACAATTTCAAAGTCAACAAAAAATTCAAAAGTGTATTAGACTTGTATTAATAGGGTTCCTACATCTATTGCAGTTTTTGTCCACTACTTGCCTGAGTTTTTTTACATTTCACTTTCAATCTTTAATTTAATTATATAAAAAGGAAACTTCAAAAGAATAAAAATGAAACCCCTGTTCTAATGATAGTTCCCACAAAACGAAATTATAAAGCTACGGAACACTAAAAACATACAATAGAACATTGTAAAATTGATTTTGGTTTGATTAAAAGAACATTGAACATACTGACTATTGCTCGAATTTTCACCACAGGTGGTATTACCCTACACTCATTTTATATCCACTACATATTTTAAGAAATTTTGTTGTAAATTACTTTATCATATATATTAAAACTAAAATAAAAACGTCCCTATATTTATTTATTTTTTATTAATTAAATTGTGTACAAAAAAGACGGATTTAAATGAATGACCACTAAAAGTAACACAAGAAAAATTACATCCCTCTGTTTGGTAGGTCTTTCACTTTATATATTCGCACAAGCCAATGTTCTGTTGTGTAGGCCTCCTCCAACACGTCCAATTCAAAATCTTTGTTTCCTATTTCAGCTCCTCTGACCCTATCATAACCGGGTGGTTTCCCTCCTAAATTTAAAAAGTTTTATTAAAATACACAACTATTAAAACAGTCAAATGATAACTCGCCTTCACTGTAGACATTTCCAAAACGATAATAACACATTTTATACATTAAACAATTCAAAAGGGTTGGAGAACCTTCTTTATCGATTCTAAATTCTCCAGTTGACGAATAATAATCCCATTCTTTGATATGAGCACCCCTATCTGTACTACCACCTGCAAAAATATGGAAGCATATTTTAATCAACTAGAATTAGTTGCATGATAAATATTTTTTCTATTTTCATGTACAAATTATAATGTATCTATTCGACATTATTTGTTAATGTGATTTTTTTTTCCACCAATTAAGTTATCTACAGTTTTATTCACCAAAGTACTAATCCTTTAATTTATTAACTTGTATAAGAAGGATGAAGACATTTTGCTGAGCATCACTACCAATTTTTTTCTTTTATACACATTAAATACATAAAAGGACATTTCAATTAGTTTAATACTGAAATAAACAAATAAAAAATACCAAGAATTAGAACTACCTACATCAGATCTCAATAAAACGAAATAGTTTTGGTAGAATAAATAAACTTTACCTATTCTCACCATCCACAAGAACTTGTTAATATCATCAGAGGAATAACCGGTCAAACCCCCAAAAATTACCAAAACATAATCAACATCAAGTTCTCTCATAATTTCATATGCTTTTTCTTCGGTACTGGCCATCGCCTGTCCAACCCTACTAATATGAGTGTTATTCCAAGTATTATTATCAACTAAAATTGTTCTATTCGCCATAGCAGTGATCTGATAGCCATAATCCCACCAAGACATGATCCTCGCATCTTCTGGAGTGTTCATCTTTAACCAGTTATAAGCTTCACGAAAATCATCAAATATTATTCTACCTAAACAAAAACAATCACAATCATTCGAAATATGACGTAATTGAGAAACAATATACCTCCATCGTGAGAACGAGCGCTCAAAACGATACTAGGGGAGCTGTATGCTTCCGAAGTAACCCAGGTACAATGGAAAGTATAAGAAATTAGCAATACGGCTACCAACCCCACGAAGAAGGTGGCAATTTCCGACTTTAACACATGATTCGATTCCAATTTCGCTTTTTTCTTGCCTTGCTCCGCAGGTTTCGAATTATCCACATTCTTCATAAATTTAGAGAGCAAATGTGAAATCGCTATGCCACCCAACATGCACATCACCGGTGCAAGGACCAGCATTAGACGAACCATCACCCCCTGCATAAAAGAATTAATGGAAAATCAATAAAATTACCTTCTGATATAACGATTATATAAGATTTACCGCAAAATAGATGCTGGTAATTCCGTACAAAATCAAAAATATATTCGCGTCTGTTAAGTTAGCAAAACAGAAGTACAGCCCTGCAGGAAACAGGGAGACCAAAATCTGTAAATCAAAGTAGAACGAACTCCAAGATGTAGGCTGATGTTCAGAGACACTTGCAATGATTGGAATATGATTTTTAGCATACGAAGGATCCAATAGAGAATAAAATCGTCCCGTCCATGGCGAAATTTTTCCAGAAAACGTCAATAAACCCAAGAATATGGCCAATGCAATACCAAAAGAGTAAGCGAGAGCCGTAAATAATGTGTTAAACTCGTCCTGAGTCAATTTACTACGTAAATAATCCACAAATGCATGAATTTGACACAGGCCGAAAACCCCCAAAGCCTAGAAAAATTATAATTTGCAATGAAATTAAAAAAATGATTTTTTTTTAACAATACCAGCATGTGCTCGGAACTTTGAACGGGTTGGAAGCCAACAAAAGAAATTTGCATAGATAGTATTGTTCCCACACAATACAAAGTGCTATATGCAATGTAAATCCGATGAGAAAACCGACCAGTTATCATTAAAACAAGCACATGCAAAGGTATTAAGTTGATAAGGAACACATAACCACCCCATGAGGAAACCTTAAAAATAAAAATTTGTACATGTTATCTTATGTGTATGAACCGCAACAAATACCATGTAAAAGTAAGCTAACGCTGCCAAAGTCCCCCAAAATATTGTCCCAGTTTTAACAGCCTTAATCCACATAAAATAGGTCAGTAGCATGCAGAAAATGGCAATACCTTCATTGTCATAACTTCCTGCAACTGATCTACTTATATATCCAGGTACAATGGCCACCATAGCAGCAGCAACGAGGCCTGCACCTGGTGTATATAGTTCTTTAGTTAATAGATATGTGATAATTGTGGTGAATGAAGAAAACAAAGGTGCCAAAAATACGCAAACATTTCGGATATCAATAGTAATATTCAGTAACCAACAGAGGTGGTATATCACAGACGATGTTACCATAAGACCTGGATAAATTGTACCTAAAATATTATTTAAGTTAACTTGATAAAGAAACTACAGAAAATATGTTATCACCTCCTATAATACGTCCTAAAGGGTACCATGCCCTATCATCAAACCAGTTGTGAAAAGAGTAAAAACCATTTTCAACTAAGTACTTCGTGGTTCGATAATTAAAATAAGGATCAAATTCGTGAATAACGCTTTCAAATCTTAACACGGAGAAAAGACGTGTAGCAAATGCTAAAATACATACCTAATTAATGAATTTTTGAAAGAAATATAACACCACTTACACAAAATTGCTGCCAATGTTAGAATTGATAAAGTCAAAAGAGTTTCTTGCTTTTCTACATTTTTAACTTTAACCGCAGAGGGTATTTGAAAAGAAAGTTGCTGCTTTTTCACGGATGCAGACATTTTTAACAAGGCTCTTGATAAAACTTCCACGTTTACAGTACTTTTAAATAATTATCTATGTAAAAGATATTTTGAGGTTATAATATCTTACAGGAATTCCACATTACGAAACACAGTAAACTTTCTAAGAAAAGAATTATAATAAAAAGTTTCAACTCTTAATCGAATATATACACTATAAGATCTATTATTGAAATTTATTATGTATCTCAACTAATAAATAGCCGGCAAATGCTACAACCATGCTACAACCGTAACACGTCATTCGGCCACTTTTGATCATTATCAGTTTTCAAGTTCAAGTTTTCCTCCATTTTTCATCATAGAAAAGGTTTTCACAGTTTTCAACATTTTTTTTATAAAAATAATAGATAGAAAACCATAGTATAAAGCTGCATAAAACCATAGATTGAAGCATAAGCTTAAAACCAAGTCTCATCAAATCCCAAAATCATAAACCATAAACAACTGCATACCGTGTAAATGAAAATTACTGCAGCCCTCAATACACAAGCACATTTTTCTTGCAAACTCTCCTTTCATCATTCAGCCCAAGGAATGCTGGGTCAATTTTTAAAAATTCAAATATATTCGCGCCAATTAGAAAAAAATCTAAAAATGAGAATAAAGAAACAGTGAAAGTCTAAAACTCGAAATTTCATAAATACATTATATATTTGATTCGAAGAATAAATTAACAGCCGTTGCTATAGAAGCGAAATATTTTGAAATATATTTTGTCAGTGTTTACCTATGTTGGTATAGTATTCGGCATTTTATTGTAGCGCGTCATATAAAAACGGCTAAGGCAATTCTGGAATTTATTTTTATATAAAAGCAGTAATATGGCTGGTTTACCAAAGTTGCCAGGGTTAACATTTTCAGATCCTACTGTAAGTTTAACAATTCTGTATTGTTAGACATGTTTTCTTTTACAATGAATTCTTTAGCTCTCCAAATTTAATAGAGCCTCTACTTTTGAAATAAGGAATGGATATAAACTTCCTAAGGCAGAATATACTGGCATTGGTGGAAGACAATTAGAAGTAAATTCAGTAGCGTATATAGAAAAAGGGGATCCTGTTCGATATGATCCTTCCCTCACATACGGCCGAACAAGATCCAGGGCTTTACCCCAATTTACCCCCCATTTTGTGCTTTATGATCAAAAATGCCTTAACTTTACCGCATTCTTTAAACAATCTGTCTTTGATTCACCCAATGAATATTACAGAGTACGTCAGGTTAACTTAATTTATTTTTTGGAAGATGACACGATTACAGTAATGGAGCCAAAAATACCGGTTAGTACGTTTTCATCTTATAGGAAATAAAAGCCTAAGGGTGTTTTTTTTAACTTCCCATTAGGAAGTTATTGTAATTGGGTCGAAAAGTGAAATCGGAATTTTCATTATATTTCCACGTTTTAACATATTAGTAGCATGCTAGCCAATTTTTTTGATGATGTGTGTATGTACGTACGTACGTACGTACGTACGTACGTACGTATGTACGTACGTTCGTATGTCAGCATTTTTTTCGTTTTCGATATCTCAAGAACGGATTGAGATATCGCCCTCAACCAAAATTTTTTCGAAAGATATTATCATAATGAAGATCTGAAAGAAATTTGAACGAAATCGGTCAAGCCGTTTTTTTTTTATAAAAAAAAAAACGAATTAATTACAAACAATTTAATTAAAATACGTTCTAATCTAATCACAACAATGAAGTTACGGAATCAATAATAACGAAATATCATTATTCAAGACAGGGAATAACATATTATAATAACATATTATAATAAAAATTTGTTTATAACAAAATGAATTGTTATAAACAATCGATAAACAATAAAAAATAGTATTTACCAATTGACTGATGCAAGTACTCTATCAATTCGGTTTTCTCAGACGAAATACTGTTTCTTATGGGTTTATAAAATGACGAACTCTCAAACATTGTTTGTTATTTATTATTGTGCCGCGTTTTTTTCAAACTTTAGAAACGAATGTACTTTACAATAACTGTATTATCTAATGGGAAGTTAGTCGTATTAGCACCGACCAAAATGTGCTCAGACCAATTTTTTTAATATTACTTTCACTTTTCTCGCCTAATGAGAAAATTGCTGCAGTCTTTTCTTTCCTATTGAGAATCTTTTATAGTTGAAGAGTCTTTTTTATTTTAGAATAGCGGTTTAGAACAAGGACGATTGGTGCGACGAAACAGGATCCCAAAGACGGATCTAGGTGACTATTGGCATTGGAAGGATTTAAATTTAGGCAAGGACATATGCATATACGGAATCGTTTATCATATTGTCGATTGTGATGTTTTTACAAAAGTAAGATATTATATTGTACTTCAGTTTAACTTGATTATTACCAAAAATATCTTGCAAATTTAAAGGAGTACATGAGAAGTCAGGGAGTAATTCTTAAAGATCCAGAACAAATTCCTCAGGACCCATACACGATGCAAAGGAAAATGGAAAGTATGGCATCTGTAGGAAAAACACCTCCTGCTGACGACAAACTTCGTCGATTTTTAGAATACGATGGAAAAGTGTTAAAGTACGTTATGATTCTCTAAAACTGCTTAATAAAACTGAAATCCATAAAAGTTATTTATTTCAGTTTCGATGCTTTATGGGACGATCGGGATTCCGAGTATGGAGAACTTCGTTATTACAAAGTTTTATACTTTTTGGCAGATGACACGATTTCTGTAAAAGAAATGCATGAAAGGAATAATGGAAGAGACCCCTTCCCTATGTTGCTCAAAAAGACAAAGTTGCCAAAGGTAATTAATTTGAAATAATAAATTTAGTTCCTATTTCCTGTTGATACATGTATTTAGATATGGACGGATCGTCCAGTTGATTATCCGTCAGCTTACATGGAACTGTCAGACGCAGAAGTCACCGAATTCTATCAACCGAAAGACTTACTGGTTGGCGAGACTATTTTTATATTAGGCCGCAAATTTCTTCTAATCAACTGTGATAAATTCACGCGAAACTATTACAAAAAGGTCCTCTGTATAGATCAGAAACCGCCCATTGAATGGAAAGAGAAACCAAAAGAACCACCGGAAAAGCCAATGCCACCTCATGACGGTTTCGGAGGTTTGGAGGATTCCCTTCAGAACACGTTAACATTCCTTCCTCAACCTCCAAAGAAGGATGTAATAAGGCAACTATTGAATGCCAACAAGTATCTTAGATACGAGATGATAATGGACGCCGTTCATCCTGAAGACAAGATCAGAAAATTCCTCCTAAATTATTCTTTAGCAGAAGGGAATTGCAAAATTTATGAACCACCAATAAGAAATTCTGGAATTACAGGAGGAAAATACTTAAGTAGCACATATTTGATAAAACCCGGATCAGACCCCCTGAATCCTTGTTATTATAATCCAGCAGATTTATACATTGGTGCCAGGATCTATGTCTTTGGCACCGTTTTTATTATAACTGACGCGGATCTTGCAGTATACAGGTACATGTTGGACAATCCGGACAAATTTCCTCCTGCAGTTATTGAAAATTTACGTAATCACATGTTTAAAAAGGGATACCTCCAGGAAGATATTGACAACCTGGTTGAAGCTAACAAAGAAGCAGAAAAGAAAGCGCAGAGAGATGCTATAGGTATAAGGAGTCTTTAATGTCGTGCAAGACTAGACATTTTCATTTATTATGCTTTCAATTGTAGGACAATTGGTAGAAAAAAAGAAAACCGAATTGGAAAAATGTCACGAAGCTATGAATATTGGTGGTGGCTTTGATAATGAATATGATGAAAAGATGAAACAAAAACTGTTACGTGAATACGAACAGTCGCTTATTCACACGTACAAAGTACCACCACATGGAATTAAACCTATAAACTTAGTATGTCCAAATAAAATTATCATTGGAGATGTTAAGAGTGCGGAATGTCAAGAAGGAGAACTCTGTAAGTGGATTTACTATCTTTTTGTCATATTATGAAGTGCGTATTACGTTTATTTTTATCAACTTATTGTTAAAAAATAAGTTAATATTCTTATTTAAAAAAAGAAAGCAGAAAGCAAGGAAAAGAAATCACAATGTGGTTTCTCATAATTATTTAATCATGTTTTTAACTTTTTCGTTTCATTCGTTTTACACACCCCTGGCTTGCATACTTCACGTATGTTGGTCAATAATGTCAAGGACAAAAAGGGCGCATAAACGAAAAAAGGCGGGATAAAGTATTTACCGCCAAAAATGTTAGGCAGATTTCTAATGCTTTTTTGCATTTTCTTTTTATTCCCATACTAAATAACGCAAATTTATTAATTTAATGGATAAAACTATAGAGTAAAATGTAAAAGTTTAATGATTTCGGCAGAAAGTAATATAACCTTAATTTAATTTAATTCATTCAGTTCATTCATAAATTCATTTAGGTAAGTCAAGGGTGTCCAAATGAATTTCTATTCCACCAAAAGCTGTAGGTAAAAGTTTAACTACTCGTTTAAAACAGATTTCATCATAGAAATTAATAAAATAACTTATTTTCTGATACAACAATCGGTAATTCTCTGCTTTCCTCAAAATTACATTCCAATGATTATTTAAATAAAAAATTAATCAACTTGTTTTTGGTGGAAAAGTGAACCATAGAAATTTATAGTTGTAAATAAACTTCAGACAAGTACTGCAAGTATGCAGCAAGTGACATTTCGCGATTGTCGTGGTAGTGTACGTCTGTTTTGTGTTTGTGTGTACTTTAAAGAGTTAAATAATGGTGTTATCAGAAGATTACGATAATCATTTGTATAAAAAATATCAAGAATTATGTAACAAGCTCAATCTGGATGTGGGCACTACTAATCAAGCATGGGAAAGCTTCCAATCTATCCTTTCAAATTACACATTAGAAGGTGATCCCCTGCATTGGTTAGGATGTTCTATTTTTGTGGCTTGCCGTAGAACTACGACATTAACTGTGGGGCGTACCGTAGTAGAAGGAAATTGTGTGAGTCTTACTAGCCTACTAAGGTATTGCAATTTGAGCCTGACACAGTTTTTTAATAAAATAACAAAATGGGCTGACATGGCCAACATGCCTGACGAATTTAAACAGAAAATACAAAGATTAGAAGGCAATTTTGCCGTGTCTTATAACATCTTTAAAATGTTTGCTCCTATTTTTAACGAAATATTTAAAAATCCGACAGATATAGAACAGACAAAACATAGGAATAGAAAACAAAGGGCCACACCCTGTACCTCATCCAAAGTGTTTGAGTTTTGTTGGATTTTATTCACTACAGTAAAAGGGGAAGATCCCACATACAGTGAAGACTTGGTTATTTCATACCACTTGTTGTTAGCTTGTTGTGATCTTGCTTTTACAAATGCTTTTCTAGAAGACCGGCGTGATCTCTTAAATCCCAATTTTGTGGGTCTTCCCCCCAATTGGAACCTTCCAAATTATACTCCTCCAGTGGAAGCTCATTCTATAATTGATGTCATATGCAACAAACACACTGGCATTGCAACTCAGGCAAAATATGATAGAGAGTACAGCTGGAAAAAACACATCAGGCAAATGTTTGAAAAGGGAATATTACATGGAAATGCTGAAACATTTACTGGTTTGTTTGATCCTCAAAACTTTGATGCAAATTTAAAGAATGTAACTAGAGCATACGAAACACTGCTTCTTAATAAAGGAGACTTTGATGAGAGGATATTCCTAGCAGATTACAGACGTAGATTATTACTGAAAGAGCAAGCTGTTAGTTCTTCTTTGTCAGAGAACGAATTAGGTACTGTCAGTGCAACTGATTCCCCTTTGGAAGCAGCAAATGAAAATAATTCTACTGCAACCACACCACTAAAGAAGTCTCTAGGAGGTCGAAATTTAAGTGAAGTAACTCCATTAACTGCAGCAATTCAAAGTGTTTCTAAGCTTCAAGCAATGTTGAAAGGTAGACCTCCTGTTCCAAGTGAAACTCTCATTAAAATTTTTAAAAGTTGTGCTAATGATCCCATGGAAAAAATTCAAAATGTTATTGAAAAGATTAGTGAGAAGTTTAGAAAAGAAAGCAATAGCTTACCAAATACTCAATCTGACTATGCAAGTCAAAGATTAAAAACTGCAATAGTGTTGTTTTATAAATTTATTGAAGGTATTTTTCAAAGAGAAAGAAATTCTCATAATGACATATCACACCTAGCAGAACTAGATATTTTTTATGAATGTACATTGGCTTGCAGCCTAGAAATCATTATTTATTCTTACAATTGTCAAAAGAAGTTTCCATGGATCTTGCAAGCTCTTGATATTCAGCCGTTCGATTTCGTGAGAGTCATAGCNGATCCAAATTACCATTACAGTTGATTACTGTGGGCACGTGTTTCGCCCATTTCTAATAAAGGCATTATCTTGCGTTGATAAATAATCGATTGTAGAGAAATTCTCATAATGACATATCACACCTAGCAGAACTAGATATTTTTTATGAATGTACATTGGCTTGCAGCCTAGAAATCATTATTTATTCTTACAATTGTCAAAAGAAGTTTCCATGGATCTTGCAAGCTCTTGATATTCAGCCGTTCGATTTCGTGAGAGTCATAGAATTGATTGTTAGATCTCAAGATCAAATGCCAAGGTAAGACTAACTGTAAAGTTAATCAATACTATTTAGTACATGTATTTGTTAAACCAGAAAATTGTACTTTATTTTGGATTATGTAGACTCTGGTTTTTATTTTTTGTTTTGTTCCCTTTACATAGACCATTTAAATGCCTTCTTTTATTTTCATAGGGATGCTGTGAAGCACCTTAATATGGTGGAACAAACAATTATTGAGTCACTCATCTGGAAAAGTGAGAGTCCAATATGGGAAGCAATTAAGAAATCTGGTGATGATTTTCCAAAATTCGAAGAGACTGCCCTTCCTGGCAATCTTATTTATACTGATCAAAAATCGTCAGTAAACTCATCTACAGGACTGACTCGCTTCCCTATGTCCCCAAATCTAATGCAGTCTCCTAATGCATCTGCTATAGACAGATTCCAGTCGCCCATTCAAGGATCTCAAGTCAAAAAGCAGCTTTTTGCTAGCAACCCTATCAGGCCAGGACAATCTCTTCTTCAAAGTTCAAAATCCATTTTAAGTTCAAACCAAAACTCAGATAACTTAAATGATCTTCCCGCTGGAACCCCATCAAAACCCAAACGTACAGGTAGCTTATCGATAATCCTCAGGAAATTTTATAATTTGGCAGGTTCAAGACTTCAACATTTGTGCGAATTGCTAGAATTCACAGACATCGAATTCCACCGTATGATTTGGACAGTATTTGAACATTCGATTCGCGAACATACATATTTGATGAAAGACAGGCATCTTGATCAGTTACTCATGTGTGCCGTTTATGTGGTTTGTAAAGTTACTGAGAATGTTGAGAAAGGATTTACCGAAATAATGAGGTGTTATCGAAAACAGCCTCAGGCCGACAGTGATATTTATAGAAATGTTTTAATAAGCAGAGAAGTGGCTCCAGACGGCACAGTCCAGTCAGAGCTAGGTGATTTAATTCTATTTTATAACAGCGTTTATGTAAAAGCAATGAGAAGTTTTGCGCTTCAGTTTTCCACTTTAAGCCAGGATATCATGCTTAGTCCTTTGCCGGTTCTATCGAACCAGAAACTGACCAGTTCTCGTTGTCAAGTGACTAATAACATCTGTATCAAACCATACGAAGGATCTTCAGATGAGTCTGGTAACTTAGGGAATAGTTTAGAGTATCACTTTAGTCGAAGTCCTTCCAAAGATCTTGAAAAAATTAACAGTGCAATCAGCAAAGGAGTAATAGGTAAACGACTATTGAGCGATGAGAATGGCGATATATCAAATAAGAAGTTCAATAGGAAAATGCAATCGCTAATGGAAGAAAGACGCTCTCATTTGAAAGAGTAAAAAAAAAGAGAAAACCATTTTCCATTCATTTTATTTTAGTGGATTTTGTCGTAAAAATCATTGTCGTAGAAATCTCGGTGATAGTGTTTATATTTTATGTTGTATTAAGTGTTAGCAATTTTTGTAAGGAAACTTTTATATGATAAATTAACACATTATACGGTATACGTACCGTATACTTAGTTTTATTACATTATTAAGTTAATACCATTTACTTGTACGTTCATAACTTACGATTAAAGCTTGCCCTTTAATATAATAAAGGAAAATTAATTGACAATTTTTTGCAGTTTTATTTACGAATTATACACATTTATCAGCAAATTAAAAATGTCATTCACTATTTGTATAATACGAAAAAGGTAGAAAAAAATCAACTACGTTGATCAAGACTTGATTTCTTTTTGATGATAATCCGACTCTTTTAGCTGGAATTACTCCAAAACATATCGACACTCCAGAAGAAATAAAACAAAAATATTACGCCAACGTTTTGGAAAAGCATCATGATATTTGTGAACACGGAAAATCTGTGGTTTGTAAAGATGCCCCACCGGTAGGCGAGGAAGTGGTACCAGAAGAATTACCTACAGATTATCTTAAGATAAGTCCCCCAGAATTTCCGGGAGAATCTTGTCTTGCTAAGCAAGTGAGCTTTGCTGACCAAAAAGAAGATCCTTGCCATAAAGACAGGAAGGATTTGTGTAATTTAAAACAGCGTAAAGAACCTTGCGACTGTACCCAGTTACCACCTTGCAGAACTGACTAAAATTCAAGAATGTGGAACACTAAGTTGGTACTTGGTTTTAATTCATTTACACTGTAAAAGTGGCCCAATATTGTAAAAAAATATACATATTGTAAATCGAATCTTTTTAAAATCTAAAATTAAATTATATATTTTGTATAAAAAATTAAAGTGGTGTGTGGGGAAAATAATAAAGTAAAAAGATTTTCATTATTTATTTATTGTCATGCCCATGGATTTTGGGTAGAATGGATACATCAGTCGCAAGACATTCCATGATATGAAGCTGAATACAGTTCAGAATTCATGTTGTTAAATGAATAATTTCCATATCTTGTACAAAGTGAATTTCCCACATTTAATAAAATCTTAACGTCCTCATAAAAATTTCGACTACAATTTAATAGTTAAACTTTTTCATAATAAAAACAAAATGATTTTCTGAACCGTATTTGAATCGATTTCTGGGATTCTTTGTGAAAATTATATGTACATTTTGTTTCGTCAAAAATGACTGAAGTAGATACATTTTCAAGCTGTCGTTTGCCTGCCTATAGGTTTGATCATCATAAAAAACCTATATTAAAAAGCCACTTATCACGAATACACAACAGAGTATAATTTGCAAATTAACAATATATGTATACACATATTCTTATCATTTGATCTTTAACTAATAGTACAAAATTTACCAAAAAATATAACATTATAGATATCATCTTATACATTTACTTCCGATTTGAAGAAGTTTTTAATAACAACAAACTGGAGGGATATTATTACAACTACCGTTTATTGACATAATAATAATTATATAAATGTAAAAATATTATAATATATATTATTTGCACATCATATTTTTTCAACATTTTCTTGTGTGTTTAGGAATTCGCAATTTAATAAACCTTACATAAAAACTTATTATCTTATTACAATTTTCTGGTAATTTTGATCTCCAATACTTTTTTTCTGTGTGATAAAAATTTTCAATAAAATTTCATATTTCTTTTACATAATGCGCAGCTTGTACGAAATAATATGACTTTCCGATTCTTCTGAAGATAATAAAAAGCAGCATAAATTAGTAGAATTTTCACTATATTTGTACGCGTTTTAATTTCTTTTATGTAATGATAATTACTAATTTTGAAGATTCACATAGAAAATGTAGAATAATTGTTTCAAATGAAAAGAGAGGCGTGTGCTCCAGATCGATATTTTAAGAAAAAAGAAAATAAATTGATTTATTATATTGTATGGTGAAAACCCCAATAATAAAGTAAAAAAGCCTACGGCAGATAAATACGTTTAAATTTATCTAAATTAAGCNGAGGGTAGAATCACTTATTAAATTATATATAATACCTAATAAATTTATTAGTATTTTTATTTCACTTATTTAAAAAGTACGAATATATAATTAAAATTAAGATATTTTAAACGTTGTATTCATTGGATACTTAATAAAAATGATTATCACATGCAATGTAATAATAAAATGTTTAATTACTATTATGCACATCATATCTCTACATTTCATCAATATTCTAAGTAATATCCACTAGTTATCGTTTCGTAAAAAAGCGGTTTTCAATTCCAATAAAGCTTTAATATACAGAGTCGCCCAAGATGCTTTAAAAGACAATTCTGATTTCGAAGATATCGTTTCTTTTTATCTTTGGGACACCCTGTATACATATGTATAATACATATATGTATATATTAGATATATTTACCTACATATACATATAGATAAAGTGATTTTTTTCTCTTATACAAATCACGATATGATTTTTGTTTTAGATTATACATGGTGTGCGTCAAATCTATAAACTTCTTCTGTTTTCATTTTCTAATAACTTGTATGTACTATCACTTACCGTAGTTCATTAATGAAAAGGTAATAATGATAATAACGCGTTAATAATAATCATAGAATACTATACGGGTATGTACTAATTGTAAGTACTAAACTCTTTTTTTAATACGTAATAGTAAATGCAGGTATTATTTGTTCAAATATATAACGATAAATTACCTTTTTTTAAGTCTTAAAGTAAACGGGATATAGTCTTAGGTATACCTTAAACAAGTAGTAGCTTTCGTAAAAAGTTTTCTGTACAACAATTATCTTCTTCGTTTCCAAAGAAGTAACCGGCTAAGTTTCTCACTGAAACAGAAAACAAAATTAAACTCAAAAAATTAACTTCAAAAACCTTTCCAATTAACGGCGAACATGTATATACAATAAATACTTATTTTTGTACATGTACTAGGTATAAGTATGATGTGGATAATAAAACTTTCGTTATCCTTATTCTTGTTGTAAGTTTCTTTACAACTTCGTGAAATTTATCTTCTAGTAATGAGTATTTCAAATGTAGGTATACTTATATCTAGAAAGGAAGTTAAAAATAAAAAATTGCATGCAATTATGAAAATTGTAGTAAAAGACGTCGTAATTTTACCCTGTAAATGCAAAATGAAAATTTCACTCGGATTTTCAAGATATTTTATAAACTGTTTTAGAATTCTGTAAAAAAAAAAGAAATGATAATAATGGTCAAATGTTACCAATTTAAGTTTAACTGCATTTACTCAACAGTATCGTTATAAATTAAAATGTGCAATAATTTTATGAGTAATAAATATTAAAGTAAAGGATTACCGCTAAAATATCAAGACATGAAAATGATAATTTATTATAGTTTATTATTAAAAGTAAGATAAAGAACAAATATTGGATAAAAATGCTTTCTTCTTCATATGAGAAATTTCTTTTATCACAGTAACTTTTAAATCAATAAGAAAAGACTGAAAAAATAAAAACTATTGGATTCATTGGAAGACTTTTCGAAAGTATCGCCTAATTCCTTTAACAAATACTTACTAAGCAAGTCTTATTTTGCCTTCTAATGATAAATCTTGTGCATGGCACTGGGTTACTCATTAATAATCACGTTAATTGAAACGATATTGTTGAGTACAATTAACCATTATTTTCCTTTATGTTTTCTTTCATCAGTAAATCATATTTTATAAAAATTGAGCATTTAATGTTTTGAAACATTAAGAAAATTATTTTGTAAACTTAGAAACTACGTTAAAATGCAGTATGGAGAACTTAATGGTACTATTTACAACCTGCATATTAGTCATTTTAATTCATTTATCTGTGTGGATTCCGAGCAATTGTTTTTTAATTGGAAAGGGTTTTATTACAGCGCCTTTTTGAAAGATCTTTTTGAAAATCCAAGATATGAAGTGTCCGTACCTATGTCGTTTATTTTTGACGTTTAGAAGGCAAAAGACCATGGCGTTTGGTAGATGAAGATGATATGGAATATGGAAGCATCCATGCAAGATACCTACGTATGTATTATACTTAAACAGGCCTAATAAAAAGTACCAGAGTACAGTGCCATGAGGAATAAATAATACGTTAAATTAATATAATAGATATTTACAACATGAAATAAGTAATAATTGATAAGTTTAATAGGTAAACCACTCAAAAAAAAAAGTAAGAGAAATGAGTGAACGAAAGAAAAACAAGATATATAGAAAGCATCTTGCATTTCAGACAGATCAGTTATTATCGATTCTGTCGTGGTTGACTGATTAATAATGAATTGTTGAGGACTTGGTAAATGGTAAATGGTTGTAAATGAAGATTACAATTTGAGAGAATCTAGGCTAGCTATTGAACTGCGGCGCGATAGGCCAAGGGAAGGTGGTCCACTAACCAGGGACGTAGTTCCAAACAATTTGTACCATCCTATCACTATATTGCTCAGATTTAAGTCGTCCAACATTATTTGGGCTACACCCATGAACACTTTTTTCCCTTCTATCCGACCATAATCGCCCCAAACGGTGACCTGGAGACAAAATGTAAGATATAAACCTTCCCATATTTCTTACTACTTCCCGTATGTATCTACCTGAAGTACACAGCCCTGAAATGGTTCCCTAAAATGTAGTTGTTGCTGATAAAGTGGATCCAAAGTTCTCCTAGCCGTTGACGTTTTCGCTTTTGCTATACACTTTTTTCCATTAACTAAATAAACTTTAACGTAAGGGGCTAAAACAAAAAGAAAAACTTTCCACAACCATAACATGACATGAAAATTGTATGGAAAAAGAAAGTCACCTGGCAGTACTTTGGATCCAGGCCTTGCTTGAAGACCTCTCGCCCTTATAACTTCAACTTCTAAAAATCCTTTTTGATAGCAAAGGGAGAGTTGAATGTCCCCTAAAGCGGGAGCTCCAAGAACTTGGCGTCCCACTAGTTGACCTGGTCCCAAACCGTCTATAAAATCTGCCAACTGGCCACTTTCACCAGCCAATCTTAAAGACGGTGACCATCTGCGAAAACCGTTGTTAATATACGTATAAATTCAAAGTAGAAATTGGAGACTGTGGTAAATGAATAAATAAACTAAAAGAAGAGATCCAAATTACCATTACAGTTGATTACTGTGGGCACGTGTTTCGCCCATTTCTAATAAAGGCATTATCTTGCGTTGATAAATAATCGATTGTAGTGGTAATTTAGGCTAAGAACTTTTTTATTTTATTTATAAATANAGAAAATTTTTTGTCACATTTATTTTGAATGTTGGGAACACATAACTAAAAACAAAAAAGGTATCTACATCATATTCTACTGTATACTACGTTATACATTGTGTAATAAAAGGTATATAAGTATGGTTCCCAATAAACATTGATATTGAATAGGTATTCGTCAATCCTAATGTTAAGAGAAATAGGTAGACATGGAAGAGCAAATATAAAAACACAGAGATGTACATAGAGAGAAATAGAAATTGTTAAAACTATATCTACTGGTGTGAATAATATAACAATGTATATGGCGGTGTTTACCGTGCTATTGTTGTTTGAAGATTATTACTTTCCCACCCCTTATAAATCATTATCATGCTTCAACACACTAATTAATCCATTCTTCTTTTTCTATCGAAAAGGAAAAGCAATTTTGAGTTTACGTAACATGAACATTAATAAAAACGTAAAGTACTTTTACGTTTTAATTTCATTCTCCAATTATCAATTAGTCACTCAATTAATTCAATAAATTTCTACTTTTTCCTTTCATATAATTCCCATTTTTATGAAATAATAAAATAGTTTTGAGAAACAAAAACAACAGATTTGTATGTACCTTAAAACATGCGTACAAGCAAAAGTGCTATCTAATTTATTTTGGGATTGTGCATTGAGATGTAGTTAGGTACATTTAATACTTTGGAGAAAGCAAAGAAGATATTTTCCCAAGAAGCTTTATTTACAATAATAGAACCGTTCAAAATTAATAAGACAACCCACACAACATTACAGCACACATTATTTTTTATAATTCCACTTGAGGCATTAATCAAAAATTTTAGCTAATTTAATATCAACAATGTAAATGTTCGACTAGATGCGTGAAAGATCGGTTAGAGAAATAGGATTTTACATAGTGTACAAGACAAAAAAATTCACAAACAAAGAAGTAATTTAGAATAATGAATTTAAATAATAAACGTTCTTGAATCGACATACATATACTGAACCAAAAATGTAAAACTTTTATGTAGAGAACATAAAAAAATAGAATGGTGTGCTACCCTTATTTGACATAACTAATAATTACAATACCTACGTATTTATTTTTTCCCCACTCAGTCAACAGTGGCGACACTAGTTCAGATCTCCTGTTGGAACTCTAGCCACGTGCTCGCTTTACGTTCGGTGTGCGCGCGCAACTTCCGTTGCATACTAAAATTTTACGCTCAACGCCCCAAAAAAAATAAAACTTCAAAAATAAACAAAATAAACGGTTATTTATTAGCAATGCTGTGCAAGACTACGAAGGCAGAAGCTATGTATATGTACGATACACGAGACAACAGTACTAACGATAATAAGAAAATAATAAAAGTACAAAAAAGGAAAACACAGAAAATCATCACATCCACGTATAGTAGGTATATGGGTGCAATATTATCATTTCATTTGTAAACCGAAATTCGACGATTGGTTTTTTACTTACGAAGAACCCTCAGAACTGGAAATAGAATTCAAACTGGACGCACGCTGACTGGAGTCTCTTGACGAAAATGGTACCACCTCTTGGGACCGCTGAATGGTACTACTTGTGGACGATCTTTTTCTACCAATCCCGCTGTCTGAATCCACAAAATTTGTTTAGTGATTCAACGTTTCTCTCCCGACATTATTTTTATTTTAATGTTTTGTTCTATCGTCAAACGCAACGTTGTTATAATTGCCAATTCAAGAAACGCTTCAATTCTTCTTTTATTATTTTTTTTGTATTAGAAAATCAATTTTATCTGTTAACGGGCTTCTACACATTCTATGATACTATAGATTTACAATTCACAATTCGAATTTTAGTGACACACGTGTATCTAATATCTATTATAAATGCATAGTTTAATTGATATTTAAAAAAATTTACACGTTGTTATTATTTTACAAAAATCTCAAATTCTATATACTAATAATTATACGAAAAATAGTTAATATAGCGGAAACTGCGTTTATTATAATTTTTTTTTATCTCTAAAACTAGTCAAAAATCCTTTTTATGTATATTACTCTCGCATTAATAACACTCGTCACTTACCTTTTATTATAATTGGTACCTACCTATATACAACCAACCATTTTCTCTTGTATAAATATGTTTCATTTTAACAACTAAATTGGTCAGTATTTTTTGACTTTTATTTATGAAAAAGCAAAAAAATAACTATTTTAATAGCGCTCTTCTATTCTATTCTAATGCTAGTGCCGAATTGATTCAAGAATTTCAACGAATTTTCTTTGATCAAAAACTGATTTTTATGCAATAACAAGCACATAATTGTTATCTAACCTACGCTATGATGGCTATAGCTGAACTACATCATCACACTTAATACCAATACCATCTAATCACAATCAACTACATACGCAATGCATAACTACTACAATAAATTTCTTTTTGTAATTTTATTTTGTATCTTTTTCTCCTTTATATAACATTGAATATTTTTTGCATTTAGCAGCATTAACATTTTTAATAAACAATTTTTGAAAATCGTGAAAGTCATATGGGGATTTAGAGAAGAAGAAAAGCGGAAACATAATGTGCTGCTATGTATTCTGTGTACCACAAATTAAATCAACCATCAAGGTATTTTGTGACCGTTATACGTAATATGGTCACTTTTTCTCTCTATGTACTCCACTCCGTGTTGCTTAGTTAGGGCCTTAGGGGTCATATTTAAAATTTTGGGATAATGAGCAGTAATAAGGTAGGAAAGGAAGGAAACCAATCGAATCAAATAAATTATTAGTCGGTCCTGACCTGTCTCCGTCAACGGACCCTTCGCCATCACTGGAAGCGGAAGAGCCCTGCTTAGATATTCGCACGTCACCGGGTAAAACTTCCTCAGAACGATGAACGGTAAAAGAAGTCTTTCCCCTACGTCCGAAACCCATTCGCCTTTTCCGACCTAAACGTTCAGTTTAAGTAAAATAATTACAGAGGGACGGCTTTGTGGATTTCGTTATTGATGGGGAAATTGACACAGGTAGTGAGCAACACGTTTTGGAAACGAACCTTTTTGTTATAATAAGTACAGTGTACGTTACCCAAAATCTCAGGATTTCGCCAGTTTAAAATTAGAAATTGTAAAATGGTCAAAATCAATTGAAACTTAAACTGTATCTTTTTATTGATTTACATTTAGGAAATTTTGTTTAACGCAGCCTGAGTAAAATTCCTTTATTTTTTTTTCTCGAACCTTCCTGTTCGTATATTGTTAAGACTTTTACGAATATTTAGCACATAACTAACTCGTTTCTTTTCTCATATATTTATTTCGTTTTTTATTTTTTTTTTTCATTTATTGACACACAATAATTATGTTAATAAATACACCAAAAAAAACACATCAATCGAAACATGGACTTATCTCTTTCTCTTTCTTACCTGTGGCAGAAAGTTGACTTGTCGAATTGCTTTTCTTGCTTAGTCCCATGAATTGATTCGCCCTGTCTCTATCACGTTCCCTGCCGTGATTTTCTTTCCGAGCCGGTTCGTTTTGGTTCGCTTCTAAACCATGAAACTGACCAACAGCTGTATCACTCAAACTACCATCTGTAAACGGGTCGGAAAATGACACTCCCAAATCACTCATTTAAAAACAAAAACTACTAAAAATACAGTAAGTCTCATTATTTTGTGTCATTTTCCTATTTTTTGATTTAACAATCTGTACCCGATTAACCCTATGGATCACCCACTTCATAGATAATCGACATCCCCTTTCATAATTATTGCATTCATGGTCAAATTATTCCTTTGTATGAATATACGTATTAAAAAGAATAAGATCCATATTACGCTTAGGAAAGAGGATTTTTAAATCTCTTGGACTTCCGCATTGACTACCCCTCTGTAAAGGGATCTTTCTAAATCCATTCTAAAATCTCATTTCTCTTAGACCAAAGCAATTTTTAAAATTATGTTTGTTCTGCTGCTTTTTTGTAAACAACAATCTTTTCATCGAAATAATTCGCAAAAATAACTGATAGCGATCGAATAATAATTATATATAATTTCTCACTCAAAGGCTTACGCAGAACTAATGAGAAATCATTAAAAAAAAATATTTGTAGCCACATTGATTTTATATTTGGTAATCCTTAATAAGTGGAACTCTCAAACATTATGTTAAAAGGCAGGCCAAAAAGAATTTTGGATCTTTTGAAATAAAGCCTTTAAAAAGTAAAAAAAAAATATTCTTTTAATCTACCCAAGGGCATCGCCAGGGGGGAGAGGGGTAGCTCAATGTGCATGTAAAATGTGAACACGATTCCATATATTCCGTGCTGATAAAGTAGTATGGTATTGCGTTGATACACCTGGATTCTGAACTTTCTTATGTTTTCGACACCGCTGTTGTCAGGGAAAATAATAAAATATTTCTTAGAGCAACGCGTTTATGCAAAAATAGCGTGCAAACTTTTGAAACGCACATATCTCATGCAAGAACGGAGATACGTAAAGAATTCATGTAAAGTCTTAAGAATAACAACCGTGAAGAAGTTGAAATAAAATGCCAATTTTCATATGCATGTAAATACTGTTTTCTTTGGGAAAATTTCAATACGAGGGTAGAATCACTTGCCCTAATCGGCTATGGAGGTAACAACGCTGAAAAGGTTAAGGACCACTGCTCTAGCGCAATGATCTCCACACTATTCATCTCATAGACCAAATTCCAATTTTTTCTATTTTGGGCAGATCTAATTTTGAATTGTTATAAATTCATCAGTTTTAAACGCATTTTTGACAGTTGACCCAGCGAAGTTTCCCATAATTAAAACATAAAGTTCCTCAAATCTAGCTCCATCTTCATAAGTTTCATAAACATTTATGTTTTAAAACAGAGGCAGTCTCTAACTGAAGATGACACCTTGGATGTCGAAACATAATTTAGATTTCTAAACATTATGTAGAATTTTAGGTTGTTTGCTGTTCATTCAGTTACTGTTCCATTACAATTGTGTTTTGTGTACTTATGGAAAGCTATACACTCAATTTTTGTTTTCGCAACCAGGAAAAATTCATAAGAAATTCAAGAAATTAATGTTTTAATTTAGATATTTTTTCTTGTAGCAAACTATTAAAACTCTCCTTTTATTTTACCTACAATTCATTTCTTTATATTATCTTACCCCCCCCCCCTGTTCAATTGGCTTTGATTTAATGCTAAATAATTTATATTTTTCTGCCAAGGCATCTGATTACCTCCGCAGGATAACAGACAAAAGAATAATACTCGGCTGTTCGCCCTACATTTAAATAATTACCTTATATCTTCTTCATGTTGTTTTAAACTAATTACATTATAACATAGTAAGCGTTTGTTTGATATTATTACTATAGTTTTAAATAAACATTTGGTAGATAGACGTATTAGTTAAGAGCCCACAGATAATAATGAAAAAATTCTATTGATTTAAATCTAAATTAGCTTTTAACTATTAATAAATAATATAAAATCTTTTTTTATCATAGAATTATGACAAAAAATCTTTCCAAAACAATTAATTAAAGTAATTTCTAATTTTTTATTCAAAACTGAAGCAATATCATTTTCATCCCTTATCACGTGTCCCCTTAAAATCACGGGACTGTTATCTAACGATTGTTACTTACCTGTCTTTTCATCAGCTGGTACTTCTGTGTTCGACATACTTCTTGTAAACTGGCCTCTCTTCACGCTACCTTCCCTATGATGATGATCGTAACTTCGATGATGATGATGATGATGATGCTCCTGATTAGAGTGTTGTTCCATAGGTTCCCTAATTCCTTGTTCCCTATTGACGTTATGGTACGGTCGATCCCTCTCTCTTTCTCGGTATCCCGAATAAGGATACCTGTCACTTCCACCGGAATATTCGGTACTATCGGGACGAGAAGCACTAGCAGTAATGTTACAAGCATTTGCAGCATTTGGATTAGCATTATTGTTGGACTTATATTTTTTATTATTCTCATTACTAACAAGGGAATCGTCATAGTTGCCTTTAGCTAATTTACTCTTGAATGAACCTTGATTACGAATAGGAGTTTCATCACTAATAAAAGGATCAGGGGATGTGCAAAAATCGGATTTTTTAAACGAACCAGTACACTTACTAGCTTTATATTGGGATATTAAAGGTCTTCTGTACGAAGTGTCAAAGGATTCGCTAACAGTTGGTAAAATTTTACTAAATTCCGAATGTGATTTTAATATATCAGAGTCCAAAGACGCTGCCTGTTTCTGTAACACCGTCACATCGCCAGACTTTTTCATTATTGATCCTTTGAAACGACCCGAGTCCTGAATACATTCTCTAAGTTTTGGTAAAGCGTCCAAGTTTTTCTTCTTCGGCGATATTGTCGCGATTTTATTATTTTCCGTAAAGTTTGGTGTTAAACCGACGCTGATGCATTCAGTACTGTTTGGCAAAGAAGTTTCATCATAACTTTGGCCGTTATTGAAATCGCCAAAAACTGACTCTTTCGAACAATCCAAGTTGAAAGTAATTGGCGAAGATGGCGACGCAAAGAACGGTTTGCAATAATTTTGCACGTAATCCGAACATTTTTGCATGTATTCGTTAATGTCTGGAGAGAACAAATTAGCAACGTAAGGACTGGGAAATGCGCATCTACAGGGTGTTGAGTTGTAACAACTTTGTGGTGAGCCTAAATTTGCAAGGTGAAAGGTCGAGTTGAATGGGGAAATTGCATTGAGTGTAGGCCCTAACGTTTTCATGAATTTTGTCAAAGGTCCATTAGAATCCACAGCTTTCATCCTAGACCAATGTAATAATTTTAAACAAATCTCACTAAATATCAATCATCAATTTTTGTTCTAAATCTATCGAAGAAAATACTGACAATTTTTTCCATTTGTATCTCTCGAACAAAACGAATTTAATTGAAAAATATAAATATGCTGTATATAGATGCTTCCTTAAAAACAGGAAAAGGTAGGGTCGCTAAAAATACGACTTTTTTTATCATCTGTCAATTGCCCTTGTTAGAAAAGGTCATTGACTTCAGACGTTTTCCAAAAATAGGGGAATACTTTCGTAAAAGGAATTAACTTTAGTTGCTATACGTATGTATATAACGTATAAGGCGAATGACCTGATGAAAAAGTGTCCTCAAACCTATTGAACTCTTTTGGTATATAAATGATACTGTGTATATTCGTTGATATATTTAGCACAGCATAAATAAGGAATTTTCAAGTGTTCATATCAAAGATAAAGAGAAATTACAATAATACAATAAAGGAGATGCGCAGTCTCATACATACACACTGAAATCTAATTTTAACGGTTCTAAGATTGATTTTTTGAGAGCTTTGAGAACTTTGCAGTGTAATTCTAAAATATATTGTAATAGTTCTTTAATCAATTTACCCTTTTTTTCATACTGGAAACTCATAACAGTAATGTGGTTTTTAAATACTTTAAGTATTTGAATAATAAAGTAGAACATTTGTAAGTCAGACTAATATTATGAACGCTTTTATTTATCCAGATTTTAGTCATAAAACAATCGCAGAACCATTAAATGTATTTCAGTTTTATCAAAATAGTGTAAAAAAATTGACATTTCTTGGGACCATAAATGGGCTTTGTTTACCCATCCCCTTTTGATAAATTTAAAAAAATTAAATTAATTTCAATATAATGAATTAAAACAAATGTTAATTAGTGACCAACCTGATCATTCTTGTTCCTCGAGGCCTTTCGGATTGTGTTGAAAACGAGCTGCTGGTTACAGAAGCGACCGACTCCATGTCGCTATCAAAATCAACGAGTCCCAAAGTGTCCCTATCTCTTTCCGGCGAATACGATCGTCTCAATCGCGAATGGTTTGCTAAGTCACTATCACTAAGCCCACCGTACCGTTTTTCCCACACTCCCGTTCCCGAACTTCGATACGTGTTATAACGACCTCTTTGTCGAAAAGCTCGCTCCTCTAAGTCTTGAGAAACGCGTTCTTGAAGTGCCCGAGCCAAAGCGTGCGGCACTTGCGGAAGTTGACGTTTCTTCGGTGAACCCGTCGGAGTTGCTGTCGCCGATCTGGACTGGAAACGAGGAATCGGATACGTATAATTCTGATAATCTTGGATTCGTACGTCCGGTGGTGATAACGAACGATGATCGGTAGCGGATCGTCGAGGAGATTTCGAACGGGAACGCGAAAGATGAACACTAGGGGACTCACAAGGGGCTGCAGAATGCGATCTTTGACCTGACATTCCATTCTGCATGAGAAAAAACACATTTATTGGTACATTATCAATTATATTATCTATCGTGTATTTAACATACCCTCCTGTAATTATAGGGATTTAGTGGCTCTTGGTCTCTCCTGGATCTCCTTTCTGTTTCTCTGGGAGGACTGATGGAACTCCCTACACTGCTTACACTGGCTCCGTCGGCTCCTCTTCGTTCTCTACTTCCATCAATTTCGCATTCGGATGGGGTGTCTGAATCGGAAAATCGCGATCCTGTACTCGGGGGAGAAAGATGTTCGCTAGGAGTAAGAGCAATCTCTTCATGAGGTCCAAGCGTTCGCCATAAAGGTTGTTCCTCTAAGGGCCACAGCTCAATAATGGCCTCTCCGAGGAAATCGTTGGCTCCATAACGAACGTAATCCCACACCGTTATCTCCAAAGCACGCTGACGAAGGTCGTTCCGTCTTAATCCCGAATAAACGAACGTTTGATTCCACATCGGATCATTTGTCCCTAAACAGAAAATTTTACAAAAGATTTTCGACTTCTGAAAATACCACAAAAAAGTATATAATGTATATGTGCACCTGCTAGAGTCCTCGTTCGTCTCTTGGACTTTTCCGATCGGTCTGGAAGTAGAAATAATTTACAATACGGATTCCTCGATTGATGTGGCGATCTAGATACAAGTCCTGCTGCACAAACCACAGTTACCAGCAACTGTAAGGTGGCAGGATCAAAGGATAATCGAACTTGGATTCGACCTCCGATACTGGGTGCCAGAGGTGGGTTTCCTTGTCGAGGACGTTCAGGACTTCCTGGTGACGTGACAAGGACGTGAGGACGTTCGTAACTTTCCGAATTACTACCTGGCCATTGCGCCATTTGACCTGATAATTTTAGAAAAATGCTAAATTGAAATACATAGGCTCTATTGTATACCAAGCAAAATTTTTAATGTAAACTGCATAATCTGGACCATACTTAAACACCATCAACCCATTATGTTGTTGCTCCCATAATATATACTTATAAAAAGTATCCCCTCTAACTTACATAGATATTTATCAGCATACGTTACATACAAAATTTTAACCAAATAGTGTGTTTAGGTTTGTGCGTGTGTTTGTGTGTAAATATGGTTTTGTTTCTATTAATTTACCAGTCGTTTAAGCTAACAACTTTACCTCTGTGGGCAACAGACTGACGCCAGGTCGCTTGAGCTGCCCTTCTATTTCCCATACTTCTGGACACTATCAATTCGATATTGGCCTCATGTTTGCTTTCGGCAATGATGTCCGAAACTTCCTGACAACTTTTTCCTTGTAGCAATCTGCCGTTCCACTCGATCACTTCATCACCTATAAAATTTTATAAATTCCTTTAACAAATCTTACACTGACGAGATCCCGTTGAAAGTTAAGATTACTTTACCACATAAAAATAATTTGTTTCGCTGAACGTTGTTTTTATTACTACGGCTTAAAAGTGACTAGCGTCCTAATTTATTGTCTTCGGTCCTAAATAAAAGAAAAAAGGAAGCTTATGTGCGTAAACACATACAAATGTCGACCTTAAACTCTCAGACATACGAAACGAAAATCAGGACACGATGTAATAAATTATGAATCTGTGGAATCAAGGATGAATAGGCTTCTAAAAAATTGATGTCGTCTACAAATAACTCCGAAAAAGAGAAAAAAGTGTTGTTCAATATCCTAAAATTGTAATATTTCGAATATAACTTGATGATCAACTCATTAAACCTTTAAATTAAGAAGAAGGGACAATGTTGTTACTAACCTGCGCGCAATTGTCCTTCGACATCGGCGATGCTTCCCTTTTTCACTTTCTCAATAATAGCACCCCGTTGACCGTTTTCAAGAATACGACCGCCGATCACTTTAAGTCCCAGGATATTGCCAGAAGACTCTTGGCTACCTCTCCGGAGGATCATGTGACCAATCATCCGCGTACCGTCGACGGATACTTGCCATTGTAACGGATGCTAAGCAGGAAATGCAATCTTCAGTAAATCTTTCGACCTTTTAGTCGTTGTTATTCTACAGCAGCAGAGGAGCTTTATTTAACAACAAAAAATAAAACCAAAAAAGCTCTTTCAGTGGGTTTTGCGGCACCAGCAGCACCACAGCAAGAAGCTGCTGGATGTGTCTGGCGGCTTGTCGAAAATCGTTTTTGCAAAACTGCAGTAATAAATACTGGAGTGGTGCCGAGGCCCGATCCTTCAAGGACCATTGTCTAACTGCCATGCCAGCTCCGTCAGAGTTTGGGACTGTTCCAACTTTACATTTGTAACGAATAACGAATTATGTGTGATAAAACCGGCTTTGTTCAACAACATTCTAAACTAACTGAAAATATGCTTTGTAATTTTGCTTCCAAACGTATGTATGCCTCGACCAAATAAATAACTGATTTGAATTGGTTCTTGAGAAAATTGATAGAGTTGGCTTCTTCTATATGAAAGTTGATTATAATGATATTTGGTAAAAAAACACTTTTTGAAAACTTTCACTTAATTTTTATTAAATTCTTAACAAGTTTCGACCTACAAGGCCATCTTCAGAAGGAAAATTAATAACTAAGTAACAACAATTTAGTCTTAAATATTAAAGATATTGTTTTGGTTTAGGATGGGAGATGTAAAAGGGAGGTGTAAATACTTTACACACATTCTGACAATAGGGGAATCGTAAATATTCTCTATTTTGTTTGTTACAATTTCACTGTTTGAATTTAAATGTGACCTTATCTCAATTGACTCTAAAATTGTTAGGTTTGTACTTTTGTCTTTTATACGTAATATTTTTACAGTTTTCCTATTGTCCAACTTGTGTCCAGTTTGTTCTATATGGTTCATAAAACTAGACTTATGATTATAAGTTTTGCATTGTTCATTGATTCGATCCTTAAACGTTCTTCCAGTTTGGCCTATGTATATAGAATTAGATGTATTGCAGGTTAACTTATATACCCCACTTTTTATAAATAAATCTGTTTTGTCTTTTCTATTGTTAATAAATTTAGATAAATTGTGTACAGTTCTAAAAGCTATCGCGACATTTTCTGTTTTTATTTCTTTATATACTTTAATTGTAGAAGAGCCTAAATATGTTAATGTATTAAATTTACAATCTTTAGATGTGACACAAGGGTATAAAGAATCTAAACTTAATTTCTTTTGTTTTTAAAAATTAATCTATCTATAAGATTTGTCTCATAACCGTTACTAAATGCTATTTGTTTGGTCAGAATGTGTGTAAAGTATTTACACCTCCCTTTTACATCCCCCACCCTAAACCAAAACAATATCTTTAATATTTAAAACCAAATTGTTGTTACTCACTTATTAATCTTTCTTCTGAAGTTGGCCTTGTAGGTCGAACTTGTTAAGACTTTAAAAAAAATTAAGTGAAAGTTTTCAAAAAGTGATTTTACCAAATTGGTTCTTATTCTTTTGCTTTTCTTTAAATCAAAAACAAATTCACCGATGTACCTAAACTTCATAAACACCGATTAAACCAAAAATTTTATTTACTCTTATTATTCCTATTTTATGTCTGCTGTTTGTAATTTTTTGATCTTTTTGTAAATAATTTATAAATGTAATATTACAGTAATACATTTAATATATGTATGTTGAAACAAAAAGCCATGCACTGCCATAACAAAAAAAGCCATTAAGCCGAAGAAAGAGAAAAGGTCGTACTGTACTGAACACATGCTTTAAACAATTGACACATAATACAGAATCAAAAATCAGAACACGAAATAATTTTGAACCCTGAAGTCTACACTACAAGGTGCTTCAGGTTTTTAAATGTATCTGGGATGTATTAAAATAAAAATATCTATTATAATACGCATGTACCTTTAAGTAATGCATAAGAATAGTTTTCAGTGTTAATTAACCCAAATTATTTTATTCTTTTCTCTAGCCTTTACTACTCTGGTTTAATGTCGATGAAATGTTAAATACCTACACCCTTAAATAATTCTCCTTGAATTATTTATAATTATCCAGATGTACAATAGAAACTATTTCCTTTTTACAATTTTGCTATGGAAAAAATAAATAATTACGATATTTTCAAATTGCTTTTTGAGAATTATTTATAAGTTTTCACGATGAATATCTGACGAAACAGTTTGAGTTTAACTCAATTTGTTTCAAGTTTATTATTAAGAATTCTTTACTAATGATGGATCTTTTTCTTGTAAAATTTATTATTTAGAATTACCAACATCTGCAAGAAACGATTTCGTTTAAAAACAGTATCTATTTGGTCCTCTGAAATTTGATTTATTTGAATTAATTCTATATAATATGTATATAAATACTGAATACAAAATACCTGTTTTTATTTTCTGTGTTAAATACCTTTTCCAAATATTAGTTTATATTTGTGTCTGAGTAGTCGAATCAAAATTTTTATTATTTTACAGTACCTAACGTTTGAAAATCCACTAAACACAATTTTATTTCATTATTTGCATTGTTACGAGCATGTATTGTGTACGTGTAATATAATATATGCGAAATATATGTATGTACTATATGTGTACGTATGCATGTATGTATGTATGTATGTATATATGTATGTATGTGTCTATGTATTTATGTAAGTATGCATGTATATTGATATAAACACCTTGGGAAGATCTCCCCTTGTAGAATCTTCGCTGGATGTAAAGGTAGAAGAGGTGTCTATTCCAGAGTCCCTGTGCGAGTCTTGGGACCCTTGCCTGTCCCAGTTCTCATGCTGATCGAATCTTACGGTCTTCTTTCTTCGTTCAGTAAAACATCGATTGTCGGCAGTAACATCTTGAAGGGGACGGTGCATTGGAGCCACAATGTAATGGCTTAATGGTGGCCAATCCCCATTTCCTCCTAAACAACATTTGACAATTTTCAAGTACTTACCTAGAAAGTGCTTCGTCTATACAGNTCATGTGGCTAATGAGCGGCAAGTCAATATAGGGATTTCCCCTCAGATTCCTCGTGAAAATTCCACCAAAAAAAGTGATGATACTAAAATGAGGATTACCTCATGGATTTTTTATATAGGTCTTAAGGGGCAAATCTATCCCATGTACAAACTTTAAATTAATTAAAACAATTAAATCTACATTATGGGGGCTCGATGAGGCAAATCCGTTTGAAAATACTCTCGGTAAAATGAAAAAACTTATAAAAAATGGTAGCAATCTCCTTGCCCAATTATGTCGTCGTTTCAATGAAATCTTTTAAATTTGCAAGGAACCAACAAGTTTTATTAGTAGGTATTATAAGACAATTGAAACCAGACGCATCAACTTAAACAACAGTAAAACGATTGCAATTTAAAGTATTATTGACTACAAAAGAATATATGTATATAAATACTGAATACAAAATACCTGTTTTTATTTTCTGTGTTAAATACCTTTTCCAAATATTAGTTTATATTTGTGTCTGAGTAGTCGAATCAAAATTTTTATTATTTTACAGTACCTAACGTTTGAAAATCCACTAAACACAATTTTATTTCATTATTTGCATTGTTACGAGCATGTATTGTGTACGTGTAATATAATATATGCGAAATATATGTATGTACTATATGTGTACGTATGCATGTATGTATGTATGTATGTATATATGTATGTATGTGTCTATGTATTTATGTAAGTATGCATGTATATTGATATAAACACCTTGGGAAGATCTCCCCTTGTAGAATCTTCGCTGGATGTAAAGGTAGAAGAGGTGTCTATTCCAGAGTCCCTGTGCGAGTCTTGGGACCCTTGCCTGTCCCAGTTCTCATGCTGATCGAATCTTACGGTCTTCTTTCTTCGTTCAGTAAAACATCGATTGTCGGCAGTAACATCTTGAAGGGGACGGTGCATTGGAGCCACAATGTAATGGCTTAATGGTGGCCAATCCCCATTTCCTCCTAAACAACATTTGACAATTTTCAAGTACTTACCTAGAAAGTGCTTCGTCTATACAGTTGTTAAATTCAAATTTTAACTCGTTCAGTGTGTCGTACCATAAATTATTATTTATTAAACGCATAGATAGTTGTAAATTATGAATTTTCATGATACCTTCTTATTCGAAAAAAGGCACTGTATTATAATAAATACCATCATTTTTAATTCTTCCTTCCTGTTCAACATGTTTTTATTATAACGAGAGAACAGTGATTTTGAAAATATTTTTAGAAAAAATATCTAATATTAACAAAAATGAACCGTTATAATTTTTCAATATTAATCTATCTATATATATAAAAATGAATTGCTGTTCGTTAGTCACGCTAAAACTCGATAACGGCTGGACCAATTTGGCTAATTTTGGTCTTGAATTATTTGTGGAAGTCCAGGGAAGGTTTAAAAGGTGAATAAATATGAAAGTTGTTAACTATCTTTCAGATTATTTTTATGTAGATTGATAAATCTTAAGTTTTGTCAAATTAAATTTCTGAACGCAACCATAATATTTGACATTTGTCAACTAAGTTTATTTTATACAAAAATTTAGGTCTTTTATATATCGATTGGGGCAGTATGAAGTCTGCCAGGACAGCTAGTATTTCATAAATTTTTGGTATTTGTAAATTCAAGATAAAATTTTTTTTAGTATTTTTGTTCTATTTCTTATAATGGTGCAAAATATACATTAATTTTAAAATTTTGAATTGAAGTTTCAAAGTGCATCGAAAATCAATATCTAACTCTAAAGTTCCAAAAAATTTTAAGGTAAACAGTCGAATTATTTGTAACAAAAAAGTTCGTAGGTGTTTCAAAACTAGCTGAATCCACCCAGATTTGATAATTTGTACCATTATCAATGATGCACAGCAGTTATATTTTAATTTTCATGACATTTTCACTTTGAATGTCAAGCATTAATAATTTAATGGTTATAACATGTCGATATTATATTAGTGTAAAGTGAAGGTACAAATTTTGCATTCAAATTTGGATTTGTTTCCCCAAGAGTGTCACACCCCTCTCTGATTGTCATCCAACCAAATGTTGTCATTTAAACCGAGTCATTTCTTTGCTGTTATTAGTTCTACCGTTAATATCTTAAAACTAGCAATTTTTAATCAAATATTCTAATAGAATGATAACATCATAAATATCAAAATTCGGCCTTAAACACAATTTGATCCTTTAGTTGAACGTTTTAATAATCAGCTAAATCCAGAATATTGTATTATGACAGGATATAGCCTCAACCAGTATAATTGCAGGTCAAAAATGTTTTTTCCCGTTTTCATCCACTAATGATGAAGTTTTACAAAATTCTAGTCTTTAAAACGTTGAATCGATCACCTTCACGCATCCTTTGCTGTCTTTACAAAATCTTTAACCCAAATGTGCAATTTTCGATCGTTTTATCCACGATTATCTGAGAGATTGAGAAGCACACTAACATCCTACGTTAAAACATTATTATCACTAGCTGAGCCCATCCACATTTGGACAATGAGTAATGTTATAGTATAGCAACATCAGAGATATCGAAAGTAGTCCTATGGAATCCTTTCATCCTTTAATTAGACGTTCTGTTAGTCAGCTAGTTGCAGAATATTGCATTATGAGAAGAGATAGACGTCTTCAATTTGATTGCAACACAAAAACGTACTTTTTGCGGATTTAATTTGCTAATATTTTTGAAGTGAAACTTCTATATAGACGGGGTATTACGATATTTTCTGTCACGAAAAAGCGTTACGGCCGCGTGGAGGGGGTAGACGGTATATCGCGTGGCGAGAGACAACCGCTGTATTACATGGATATAATGCGCAGCCGCGCGGAGAGCGAGTATCCGCTAGAGTCCCGGCGGCGTGTGCTGCGCTCAGCTGTTGTTTTCTTACCTCTGCTCTCAACGTGGCTGGACATCATTGCCTCTATTAGCGGTCAAAACCAAATCATAATTTGCAGTAAACCTGTGAAAACGAAATGTGTGCTGAGAGACATAGTAGAAGTGAAACTTCAACGGACAAGTGGAAAAAAGAACCGCAACAAAATTTTTACTAAGGTACATTAACAATCTGCCGGTAAAACTTGAAGTAAAAATTTTGTTGCGATTAGTTTTTCCACTTGTCCGTTGAAGTTTCACTTCTACTATGTGTCTCAGCACACATTTCGTTTTATTAAACCGCTTAATAAAGTCAAATAAAATTTTACAAAAACTGGTACTCTATAAACGATAGGTAAATCGATCGCGGATTGCGATATTTTGGACGTAATTTGCCGTTTTTTTACAATCTTTAACCGAAAAGTTGTTGTTTTCGGCAATGGCTAACTTAGTGATGGACAAGCACACAAACAAACCTACGGTAGAACATTACTATTATTATTATTATATGTATTTATACATATGATAATCACTGTTCCAAATCATGTTCAATTTAGTCGACTAGGTACGTCGTCTATTAAATTATCGCTCGTCAAAATACGTAAGAAGAGAGATTGTAATCCAAAATGCAGAAGTAGAAGGTGCAAATGCCGGCGTGAACATCTTCATGCAGACATAACAACATCAAAAGAAAAAATAAAATATGAAACAGAAGTTTAAATATTAATAGGGCGAATGGTTCTCACCGCTAAGAATTTTTTAATTTTCTCATCTAGAATTTCTTGACGACTTAAATGTTCCGATAATTTATCTCGATCTGATGAACTGCCTGTAAACGTTACCCCAATCAAATCTCGAAAAATTCTTCAACCACCTTATCATGGGAGCAACAACGAACAAAAAGAGGTTCATCTTGAATCTGTCTCTTCGTATACATACACAGCATATATGTATACACAGAATTCGAATGAAATATTGTTGACGTAGTGTATTTTATATAACAAATAAATAAGTTCATCATTTTTTATATTAGGTAGTAAAATGTTACCTTCAGTTATTACAAAAAGTAATTCTATAAAAATTTCCATGAAAACCAAGATGAATCTATCTTTTTTCGGCCGTTTGTAAAGGAAGAATATATTGCAGATATTGTTAGATTGGTCCCGAATATGGGTAACATTTTAAATATATTTATTTCTTACCTTTTTCGCTGTCTCGATCATCACTGCATTCCGGGGTGGACCTGAGATCATCCTCTGAACTCGAAAACGATTTTTGGATTTGCGGTTGGGGTGGATGCGGTTGATGCTTCTTTGTCGACCCAGTCCTTTTATGTTTCTTATTAGAACTTGTAACAGATGACACCCTTTGTGATGGAACATCCATTGGAGAGGTTTCTGGTTCCGAACTGTCAGGATATCTAAAAAAAAGTATATAGCTTCCAGAAAGAAGAAAGACAGGTAAAAGTTATTATGTTGGCTTCCTATTAAAATTTACGCCCCTTTCTTATCCCCATTAAATATGGTCATATTTACCTTCTGGGAACCAAATGAGGATGCTGCCTCATCAGTCCCTCGATCTCTCCTTGGTAATATCTGGGATCGTCTTCGTTATAACCCTGATGTTGATATCGTTCGCAAGAAGGGCCCCTGTTAGAGTCCTGTTCTGAAAATTGTCTTCTCAAAGTGCTACCAGATCGTTGAAGGGGCTGATTTTCTTTTTCTGCAGCGGAATGGGCACGTTCAAGTTTCGGCCGTTTGTCAGAAGGCGGCTGCTGATGATGCATGTACTGTTGCGATTGTTGATGGACGTGAGACGAACGATCCAGGGCAATTTCCAACTGACCTCCGCCACCTATCATCCACTGACCCGTTTTCCCAAGCAGTTCTTGTTTCTTACGACATAAAATACAGACCCATACCACCTGAAACGAAGAAATAATGCAATAATAAAATTACTGAAGCGGTAAGGAGGAGAGTCTCTACTCTCTAGCGTCTCATTTTCCTCTCTCTTGAATTTGGCGGATGAGTCGAGCGTATTTGAGAAATTGTACGTACGTGTCAGAGCTGATAGATTAACAGATACAAAACATTAGTTTGGCTTTGATTATTATTATTAATCCACAATAAACATAAGTATATTCCGATAAAATAAACTTCGTGAATTTAAGAATTAGATTTCAATCAGATTATCGAGAATTTCGTAGGTTTCCGCGAGGATAGCTGACGGTGAAATTCAAAATTTTGAGTTTATACGTCGTGTCTTCAAGTTGTCGACGTTTCATCCTAGGGCACACCGAACATTCTCAGGTCTAGATAATCTGAATAAGTTGTTCTTCTGGTTCAGATACTCCAACGACAAAAGACAAAAGAAACATCGCTAACAGCCAACTTGACGAGACGACCTATACAATAGAAAGTATGAATGTGCTGTTTTTTATAGCTAATTATAAAAAAACAAGTTTGATTTTAAAATATTTAGCTAATGTAAATAATTAATTACATATACCGTTTGTATTAATTCCAATTGTCGTCAAATAAACGTGTTATTTTACAAAAACTTGTACACTGATCTAAAAATCTTAACAAGTTATAGGTCCACAATTGTACTCTGTATTAAAGAAACAATTGTTCATTACGAAATCGGAGTTCAATCCTGCAGTAGATTGTGTCAAACCTGAGAGATGCATGATAACCAACTTCAAACAGGTTTAATGAAATTAATTATCAAGTTGTGATATCGACGAATGGAAATCTACATGGGTGAGAACAAGTTAAAGAAGTATACATTATATGTACTAGGATGATAAGAAGACATAGGAGCAGACGTTTTTTATGCACGATCTTGAGCTTGATCAATTAAAATATACATCATTAAAGTCTGACAGGGTGTACAGCGCAAAATCAAAAAAGTTTCCGTTTTTTTTCTAGCTACTTGTCTTTACCTTTCCAGTCATACCGTTTTGACCCAGCATATTTATGGGAAACAAAATTAGCCCATTATTCCCGATTTTCCTGTTTCGTTCGTATACACTTTATATAAACTATATACTACTCATGTTATTAGAAGTAGTAATTAATTGTTAGCTGTGTGATTAAGAATAATATAGAGAGGTGCAACGAAATTGACTATTATGAAAAATTTAAATTTTTGCTTAAAATTTTTTCGTCGATACCGCGCCATTTAAAAAACTTCCCGTATGCTTGACAAATTTCCCCGCCTTTTTCCCGGTTATTTCAAGTCAATTTTATTTACCGGTTTTTCCCTGTACGAACAATTTCAATTGTTAAAAACCCTGAATCAAACGCACCAACCACGTAAAGACTGTTTTTTTTTACACATGAAGGGTAAAATTGAAAATCTTCACGTATCAATTCATAATCTTACTGATACCCCGACGAAAACCTTAAGCAAAGAAAAGTTTCTGTAGTTTTCTTTTTGTTAATGAGAAACAATATATTTTCAGTTTAATTTTTTAAAAGTAAACATTGAGAGGGTGTATTAAATGTTACGTTCTTTACTCTGTCATAAAGTTAATCATAATCGTTCGCGTAATTGCTTATACATAACAATAAAAAATATTAGTTTGCTATATTTTTTTGAAACTTTTAATTTTTAAAAAACTTAGCTAATGTGAATAATTTATTACAAATCTCATTTGTGTTTATTCGAGCTGTGCATTGGTCCTCTAAAAATCTTAACTTTACATTTTCTGTTTTCTTAAAATAATAATAATAGTAATCAGTCCGAAGGTTCCACGTCTTCCTATCTTGAGCAGGGCCGTCTTTAAACTATTGGAGGCTCTAGACACATAAAGACAACGGGGCAACAAAACCAAAAAGAGTAGATACGCAAAATTTTATTTTATTATTTTTTTATAATAATAGGTGTATATAATAGTATATGGAATAAAGAGAGACTATTCATATAAAAATAACTTAATTCTAGCTACTTTTTTGAAAGAAGGAATTGAAATTAAATATTGATCGAGTTCCTGAATTAAAGTTTTGATTATACACCATACTTAATCTATCGACAAATGACAAATGATTGAAGTTGTTCCTTTTAATAGACACATAAAATTTTAGTGTATTAGTTCTGAGAATTCTTCCTGGAATATGAAAATTGACCTTCTCAAGAAGTTGTGGTAAGTACATCAACATAATCCTTGCAAACTTTAAATAAATACATGACATCGAAATAGCTTCTCAACAATTAGGGAACAAAGACGAATTTCACGTGCAATATTAATGTAATCATGATCGATTCTATGCGTTGGATTACCCGATTTTCCTGCTAAAACGGACAGAAATCTATGTTGAATACGCTCAACACTGTCCGATAGATAAGTATGACAAGGGTTCAAGATTTGAGAAGAATATATAGGTAAGGCTTGATGGAACAAGCGATTGATAGAGCAAGATCAAGGTACTAGACTGAAAAATCCTTAGAAATACCCATTACCATGGATAAAGTACGTGATGACTTATTGCATATTAATTAATTGATGATGGCTGATATGCGAATCGAATAGGACACCAAATTCCTTTACCAGCGAAAATTCTCTCGAGAAGAAAATTCTTTAATAAGACACAATAAAACACTTATCAAGACTAAATTTAAGACAATTATTATAACAAAAATTATTAATCCGATAAAAATCAGATTGTAATTTATCATCTACAGAATTAATTATGCGATAGATTTTAAAGTCGTCAGCATTGAGTAAACCATACGGATTTCAATTGCTACATTAAAAAACAGAGAACCACAATGGGATCCTTGAGGTACTCCAAAACTAACGGTATGTTCAAATGATTCTAGATTTATTCTACAATTATTTTTATTTCTTAACAATCAAAGTAAATAAATGGATGATTGTAATATGACTCGGAAAAGTAACTTTCTTAGCATTCACAGGTTAGCGCTTAAAATCGTCAATCATACGTTGTTGACAGGATATCACATTCTAACGGACATCAGCGACAAACTGACCAATCTTTGTTGAAACATTGAAGAGCGTTCGCCAGTAGTTATAATCATGCTTAGAAAAATTCTCAATGCAATGTCTACATTTGGAAATGTGTCTTTAGTTATTTGAAATACTTTTAGTCTCTTTATTTAAACAGTTATCAAGTATTCTGCTAAATGCAGACATTTTCTTTCTCGTTAACATCTTTATAATAGATCCTGATCATCGAGTCGGCTTACTTGGGTCAGTCACGTTCAGGTTTTAAAAATTATTGCAACAATTTTTTTTTGTTGAAAACTTTAATATAAAGTTTTGTTTGTATTTTCACTTAACATTGTGGTATACTCTGTATAAATGTTTCAAAAATCATCTACATTTTTTGTAGGTATTCTAATCAGTAATTATTTTCTTTTTTTTCTTCAAAATAAATATATCTATCGGTAATAAATATAGGTTTTCGATTGGTGGAAAGATGTGGCAGGAACTAGATGGCCCCTGTCGATTACGGGGCCCTGGATACTTGCCCAGAGTGCCCCTTAGAAATGAGGATCTTGATCTTGAGCGAATCTTCGCATTTCTCAAAAACTAAAGCAACCTACAGTGAAATTCGTTTATTATGTCTCCGTCAATATTAACCAACCGCTTAATATAAAGTAATTGCAGTGTTAAGTTTGGTTTTCATATTAAATTCTCTATAGGAAAGTTTGGATATAATGTCTCCGTTTAAAATGACATATCGTTTGTTATGACTGATTCTCAAGAAATCATATCCGGCTATAGTGACCCAAATGATTAATAATAACATTTTCGCTCATTTTTCTGACCCTTTTTATGCAAATTGATATTATAATTCATCGTTCTTTCTCTTTTTCTGTTAATATATATGTACAATTTGTAGTTTTTCTCTCTATTAAACTAAATAAATAGCCAAAATAGAAAGTTCCTTATTTTTTAAGATTATGCTTTGTATGACACCCGCTTANAGTTTTTCTCTCTATTAAACTAAATAAATAGCCAAAATAGAAAGTTCCTTATTTTTTAAGATTATGCTTTGTATGACACCCGCTTAGTATGACGTGTTATCATTTCCCTTCGATGTCATTATAAGCGGATTCTACTGTATATTTCTAACTTGCGAACAGTAATCTAATCCAGATCTACCTCTAACCGTCTTAACTCTTGTTTCTGCTTTTAATACGTTTCTAACCAGTCTTCATGTCTCAGAACTCATCTCGCCTATTAATAATTGACATCTATAGCACCCTCTGCTCTCCTACTCATTACCTCCTCTTTTTATTCACTGTATTTTTAACATCCTCCTATAACACCGCACCTCATACCTTTTAACCTTTTCTTTTCCGCAGAATCCACGTTTCACCTCGCTGCAGAATCAAACTCCAAGCAAACGTTTTTAAAAAATAATTGACTGAAAGTGACTTCTTTTTGTTAAAAGTGACCTATCCCGGCCTTTTTTTCGTTTAAAATGAGCAAGTAAAAATGACAAGTTTGAACTGCACTTTTGCGTTCATTCGCACACTCTAGGGCAAAAACGTTGTTTATGATGGCGGATACTTTATAGTTGCCCTGCTTGACACGGCCATTCGTTCTTTCCGATGACGTTAAAATTTTCGTATATACGAGGACCATTACGTGTAGTAAATCCTGAAGGAACAGAAAAAAAATAAATACCCATTTGTCAAAGTCATTGCGTAACCCAAGTGAAACCTTAAATCACAGCGCTCACCACGAGGATGCTGAATAAGTGCTGATAGCAAATGTTAGGTACGCGACACATTTTAGACTTCACTAATCTTGGCTATTTTTTATTTTTATTATTCAAGAAAAGACATAAAAAAATAGTATAAATAGTAAATAGTAGGCTGACAAGTAATTGCTTGGTAAAATTATCATTTCCTTATCATTTCCCTAATAAATGTATATGCCAAGGAGAT